GAGAGAGAAAAAGAGAGAGAGAGACCTAGAAAAGAAAGATACGCTGTCGGAAGATATCAGAGCGTGAAATTCGTCGTACAGAATGTCCAAAGTATTTAATTATTTGTGCAAGTAAATAATATATGAGAAAGATTAAAGTAAAGCTACTAAAACTATCAAAAAAGATAGGATACTTGAATTGCCAATAAAATTATAAAATCTATATATTAGCTGCTCAATAGCGGGAATTCTCAGAAATAACATAGAATAATATGTAAAATACATCTCGAGTAAAATCATTCATATTAATATGCAACACTACAATTAGAACGAATTTTGCCTTAATCGTATTAAATCCGTATTATATCACGTGCGAAACACTCGAATATTCAGAGCAATTGTGTTTTTAGCTGTGTTATATCGCAGTGAATTGCAAATGTGTAAGCGGTAAACCCATTTTTAATTTTTAATTCTTCTAAATTGAGATGTAAAAATTGCACGCTTCTCTATCGAGGGCGCAGTTATACAGTTCGTTTAGTGGATACAGTCACGTTTTCTTGTATACAAGGAAATCTGAAGATCGTTGCGCTATTACTGAGTAGTTCAGAAGAGCTCGGCTTAAAGCAGTAAACCCGGCTCAAATATGTCTGGGTTGCCTACAGAGTAGCGAGTTTCTTAGGTAATCTGCGGGATCTACGTAAATGACCTCGCTGACAAATAATAGCGATAATAATAATAGTGACGAGAATATACGATAATTGGCTGTCCGGACAATTAAATTCCACACAATAATAACTTCGAAACATACATAAAGGCAAAAGAGCACGAATTCAAATGCCCACATTAACATTCGCTTATATTTACTTGTATTCAAAAACCAATTTATCCGAAGCTTTTTCAGTACTTGTTTAGAAATAGTGCGGCAGAGAGATGAAATCATATTTACTGAAATTTTCTATCTGTAGAGTTAAATATATTTGCAATTTCAGCTCTATAGAAAGCACTGTGAATAGAGTTGCCCTACCAGCATATGCGTAAAGACTGCTAAATTGCGGACATTCTCAGAAATGAGATAAAGGTAAGATATAGTTCGAGATAAAACAGTGATGAAAGAACGCCTCAAAATAACGGAGATCACCATCCTTGAAGACTTATGGCCACGTGTCTCCTTTAATCCCCAATGGAAGAAAGGTCGTTCAGAGTCGCGGAGGTCTTGCACGTGCTCGTGCGCAAAAACTTTCGCAAGAATTTCAAGTGTCAACGTTGCTCAGCCTCGACTTATCGAGGCATCGATTTTACATCGCTCAATGGCGGGAGCGCTTGTCAGCTTTTTGCTGCCACGCCATTATCTGGACAACGCGCAACAATTTGATTTTTCTATGCTTCGGACGCCCGCTTGTAAAATCAAACTAAGTGTTTTTCGATGGCCTCTCTTCCGGTTCTCTTCCGTTTAAAATTGCTGCTTCAATTGCTGAACGACGTTTATAGGGGTGAAAGTTTAACGATGGCTTTCAGCGCAGCTCTGACTCTCGGGTGTGGTCCGCGCGCATCGCGTAATAACGTCAAAGCGTCGTAAAGATACGTCTCGAGTATACGTGTACGATGTATTTACGAGTACGAAACCGATTAAATCGGTAGACGCGATCGTAAGGCGGATATTCGTTAAATGGTTTCTAGGCCGATAGAGATTCACTCGAAGATACGAAATACTCTTTTGGTCGGAAAGAAGCGACTTTGATTTGCGCGCATTTTTTATACATTTAATCTGATAATTAATAATACAGTAAAGAAAAGTACATCGGTAGTAATATGAAAATTTCAGCTAAATTGATTTGTTTTACGAAAAAATTTCTTCCAAAAATTAATATCGTTTGATTCCTTATTTCAACACGCAGTGCGCGGATCACATAAAATTGTTTGTGGACAAAATACGTGACACGCATAGAGGGAAGTTAGGCTTTTACTTTAATGGAATATCGGTTATTTAGCGTACGAGCGCGCGCTTGGCGAGATGAGACATAGCTCGTGAGAATTTGCGGTTTCACGATGGGAACGATAGGTGGGCGGGTACGAGTAACCTTGCCGTTGGCAAATACCACGGCTGCTCTTCGGAACTTATTTTGCTGACAGATAAAAAAAGAGACTGAAAATTTCATCGGGTTAAACGAAATCAAACCACAGGTGTTACATGCTGTATTATAGATAAAAATGTCAACATTTCTTTCAAGCTCTAAGATCTCAAATAACACAGAATGGAGAGCGAAACTTTTATTCTGACATTTACCCAACGTGTTATAATAATTAAACTTTCATCTCCTAAAATATACATTAAAATATACATTATTACGTAACTCAGCATGAAATAATTTCGCGCAATCTGAGAAACACAAAAAACATTGTTAAATGTTTTTAATTGACACACTTTTTTCAGACATACTTGAAATTACTCAGAAATTACTTGATAATTGTTGATGTAAAAAGGATTTAATTACTATAATTTATGTAATATGGCTGTTTACAAATGCAACGTTGCACGTGGCTACATTGAATCAATACTTGACTGTGTCAACATTTAGCCATCCTCCACATCACTTAATCGAATAATGTCCTTGCATGTCGGCTAGATTCATTTTAATTAATAAGAAATGTATATTCCAGGAGTCAACCCTACGCCGATCTCCTCTCGGTTCAACGTCGGTTAATGCTCTCTCGACGATGTCATTGCACTTTACGCTTAATGCGACAGAATTAGAAGCAAGGAATGAAATGATCTCATGTTATTTACAATTTCTAACTATTCTCGAAGAGAGAGAACGACAAAGAAGAGAGAGATGAGAACGAGCGAAGAGAGCGGTGGGCGGGCAGATACTTCGAAAGAGCGAAGTTAAAGCCTGTCAGAACGAATCATTCACCTTTCAAACACAGAGATAATATATTTTTCTCAATGAAATACACACCCGTTATCTAGAGTTAAGTTGAATCATTCTCTGACGAGTGAGGGTGTGAAATAACGCGCATGTTGTCTTTTGTATTCACAAAGTTGTCGTGAGATGTTTAATCGGAACGCCCAAACAATATCGATTTTTTGTTATCACCTTTGCTACTTACTGCGAGATCGCGTGTTTGTCGCAGAATGATGAAGTGTCACTTCAACATGCTGTTTGAAGTAGTCTGTTATACGCGGTATTTCGCTTAAGCTACTTTATTGCAAGAGTGACAAAGGTTTTAAACCTTCGCCGTTAGCATGTCAATCATTTCCGAGATTAATCTTTCATGCAAAAGTTCTCCGTATGTCGCTGAAATCTCTCTCTTGCATTGCCTTTGGGTAGCTAACTAAATAAATACAATAAAGCACGCTTTATTAGCAAAACCTGATATTTTCTTTTCGTAGTACGTAGAAAGCTGAATGCGACTACGAATAATGCATCTTTTGTTATAGATAAATTCTTGGAGATATTTGCGTTGTTTCTTGTTTTTTAAATGAATTGCGCATTGAAATGAGAAGTTATTTCAATAAGGATAAAACACTCGGTTATTACTTACAAAGAAATGATTCTTTGTGTGTTTGTAAAACTGTATAAAATCAAGGAGAAAGGAAGAGAGTGGCGAGCATAAAATCTTTCTTCCGCCGCAAGCGTCTTTTTCGCTTTTCTCAAGTAGTAAGATATCTGTACGGTCAGACGCAAGAGAGCACGTCAATGTTTTCTCGTGAGTCTGATCGTACTATGCAAATCAAAATGCTGAATTTTGCTTACATCATTATACTACTACATTATCGTATAAAAATTTATCTATTTTACATAAAAGCAATTTCATCTAGAAATATTGCAAAAAATATGTCTTTATTTCTGTTAAACAAAAATAATATTTTTTTTTACCAAATAATTTAAAAAAATAATAATTTATATATATATATATATATATATATATATATATATATATATATAATATATAACTAATTGAAAAAAATATATACGACGTATTATTTAATTAATAATACCGTTGTATAGATGAAATGGGTGCACGAAATTATAAAAAGTACGAATGCACTTGTAAAAGATCCTTTTTCCGAGTTCACATAAAATCGACACACGTATCCGAATTACCTAATAGAGTAGTATTGACGGAGGTTCGATCTCATCGAAGTTCAGCATGCAAACATTGACCTCGTCCTACGTGCATCACTAATAGTAGCTTTCGAGTAGTTGGATGCGAAGGAAGATTGATCATAACAATTCACGGACGCTTGATTTTACCACGAGATATTCAAAATACGCTAATCTAAACTCAAACTATAATTAACTGTGTGCTGAAAGATAAATTACTATATATTGGGAAAAAACGTAAAGGGTATGCTTTCCTGAAAGAAAAAATGTAAAGCGTGCAATAAGAAGCGATAAAGACATCAACATCAAAAGCAGAGATAAAATATCTTGAAAAGTTGTTAAACCATCTATTAAAAAGATGATAAACGAATGAAGTTTGTCGAACAAACTGATGTGTAATTTTTTACCAGAAACACAGAAATTACACCAACATTTCGTGCAAAATGCAATATTGTTTTTATACCAAAGTACGCTTCAGCTGTTTATTGAATGATATGTATTTTAGTTTAAATTTATTGGAAATCTTGATGAGAAATTCAGTTGTTTATATTGAAAAAACACAAATTCATTATTTCTTTGTTACATAAAAATATTGTTTGTTCGCATGTTTTTCTTAATTACAGTAATTTTTAAAAAAGTGTTGGATTTACGTTCCAAGGTAAAAATTGTAAACAAAATTTCATGGAAAAAAACCAGTTCAAACATTTACCCTAACGCAGGTACTCCGTCAGATGCTTCCGTAGCTGAGAAGAAGGAAAGACAGCTTTGCGATAGAAAGAGAGGGACAAACGACACGACTACACTTCGGTATACTACTCTAGACTGTGGTGGTGTTGCGCAGGTGGAAGAAGGTTACGGAAGGGTACGAGAGCGCAGACGCCAACTGAAAGCATCGAGGATACCACCCGGCACGGTACCGAAGTACCGGACAGAGCTGGCTCGCCCGCATTGCCGTATTCGTCTACCAGCGTGTCAGGTGGTCTACTCAGCAGGCTATTAGGGAGAAACGCATATTCGGGGTCGGAGTGTCCATCGCCGATATCGCGAGTCGCGAGAGTTTTGATTCTGATTTTGGTGCTGACCGGAGAGACCAACATCCCTCGTTACTTCGTCGGTTTAAAGAACCGTTTTCCCGCGCTCGGCACCAAGTCGATTTGCACCTGTTAACACCACTCTCACTCTCAACGTTGACCTGTTTGCCGTAAGTACCATTCCGAAGACGTTTGCGCTTCTACGCCGATCGACGGCACCTGTAGGATAACGCCACGAATTCGCGCAACTTTCAAAGTACAGTGTGAACAGTTCGAACAGTTCGACGAATCTACGTATATCTGCGGAATAGTTAGATATGTTGAAATGCGCACGAGCGTATGCATAAATATGAATGAGCTTTTCATGAATTGGATGAAAATCTAATAAGAGAATGCGGATGCATGAAGAATTGTATCAATTTCTCTATTTTAACAAAATTTAGAATTTTTAGGCAGTCTAGTATTATAATCGTTAACTAATTATTAGTTTAATTAGTGTCATACGTTGCTTTCTCGGCCTGTCATTCTATGAACAATGTTGCAGAAAGCACAAAATAAATCATTCAATTTTACGTATAGCATTGCTGTTTCTAAGCCGCTAGCAACTTTGAACAATTATATTATTTATACAATTTTAATCATTGTAAAATATATTGTTATTCAAAGTTCTTATTATTTAATATAACAGGGGCAATTAGGTATACGTATTATTTTTCGAGAAAATTTCAAAGTAATTAAACTACACTGTAAAATTAAATTTCCTTAATCACGGCTAAAATTTTCGATAATGCAAAGCAATGATGTTTGAAGTCTTTAATAAGATTCTTAATAAGATTCTTTTTGATAAAATATACTTTATCCTTGAAATACATATATAAAGATATTACATATTGTGCAAATAATAAATAATAAATATTATTATATACATTTATTATTTATTATTCTCATTATGCATTATTCATCTGATATTAACATTGAAAACAAAATTTGATAAGAGTGAAATAATAGCGTTAATATTCATTGGTCGTTAATATAATTATTTTATATATTCAAGTGGGAGATAATTAATAATTTCGGTGCTTCAAATTCTCATTCTCGTCACATTGCTTGCTGCAACGTTACCTCTGATCTTCTCAGAGCTAGATATTCTGAATGTCATCTCTTGTGCTGAATACAATTTCCTATTCAACACAACCGCCTAAATTGTATCATAAACATACACCCACATATACACATACTTATAAAAAATAATAAGCCTCGCGATCTTCATAAGCACGACTTCAAGATTCGACTTTTGTTGTAAATGCAATAAAATTCACTCGAAACAAACGAAAATTTTGAAAACTTACATTTTTATAATTAAATATTTAAATTAAACCACAAGAAATCAATCTATCTTCTGCCATTATAACTTGTTATAAATAATATTAGAGATAGTTATGTAATTTGTAATTACATGTAAAACTAAAAATTTTTATTGGCCCGCGCGCGTTCAATCGTCAGTTGATTTTTGAAAAGTATAATAAGAGCTTGTTTAATAAAATGTAAAGTACAAATTCTGATAGGTTGTATAAGAGAAGCTGGATAATGAGTTGTTTTACTTCGTAATTAGTATCAAACAATCGCAGAAAGTGATATAACTTCTTATATAAGTTATTCTTAATACAGCTTCCTGTTCTAAAAATAAGACAGCCGGGATAAAATAATTCCCGATGCGAGACATTGCACTGACGTTTCTGGCGAAAAATAGCATCGGTGTCTATTTTTGGCGAGCTGAAATACTCAACTGAAAGAAATATATTTCAATTTATCACTTTACTTTTTCTTACACACGACATTTTCTTCGTGCCGTAGTCGTGTCATGTGCTTTTTGAATTGTCCGCTATTGTCGCCATTCTACAACTCAATCGATCATACCGCACTTGGTCGAAGTAGCCGGACAAAAATTTTTGATTAAGCTTCCCGCATTTTATATTCGCTGAGAAGATACTCCCGATGCGACATTTCCCTCCGATTCTATCTGCGCAGTCCTTCCGAGTCAGGTGTCGGAAATGGCGCAGTAGATTGCATCATTTACCGAAGACCTTTCAAACCGCAACTTTACCACACTCAATGCACCGCGAACTTCAGTCGCACGTGCGCCCCTTTAACACTCGCACCGCGATCGCGGGGTGAGTCGCAAAGCGTTAAAGACTGCCTTAATAAAACGCGCGAGGTCAATTTCACCGAGAATCTAGTCGCTTGAAATTACGTCGCGGAAAGCAATCTCGGCACTTTCCTAGACATTGCTATAACTCTCTCCAATAAGTTAATATTATATCGAGCTTTGTGTCGTCTTGTATTCAACAATGTTTAAAAGTTCGTGTTCAGGGTTACTTTCGAGCTAATCTCATCTGGCAAATCTTAACGGAATATCAAGTTTCGCGTAAAGTTTAAGCAGGAACCACACGGAGGTGTGTGGAAGATACGAGTAGCAGCTATTTTGGTGGAAAGTTCCAATATAATTTCTAACTACGTCCGTTCTCATCCGAAACTTGAATCGACTTTTTCAATATAGTTTGCATGACGCTCTAATGGAAATACGATGACATTAAATTTGAAATTTGTCGACGGCTACAATTTCCAAGAACTTTTTATCGAAGCTTGCAAGCGTTTCAAACTAGTGAAGCAGAATTTAAAAATTATAATATCAAGACGAAGAAAACATACAAATTTAAAAAATATACATGTTTATATGTTTTATTATCGGAGCTCGTATAATTTTAATGGAAGTCTGATGCAAGTGCATTAATATGATAATGAGTCTCATCATCCTTGTCATCCATTACTATCGCTGCAGCAACTTAATTGTCGCGCATCTTACGTTTATTACGCATTTATTAATATCCATTAATGACTTTATAACTTGCGCGCAAAGTTTATTGCAACTCAGCAGATTTTCACATAATGTGAAATTTGCAACTTTGCTACAGCGTTGCGCTGTTCCACTAACATCACTTCCATCATCCTGCTTCCGGAAAGATATTTCATGTAGCACCATATTGTTCGCATAATTCTAGAATTTGAGCAATAGCTTGTTGTTGAGATGTTATCGATTATTTTTTTGAAAACCAAAAGAAATTTTTTTTTCGGAAAATAAAATTTAAATTCTGCAATTAGCAATTATTCATGTGAACGATAAAAAGAGCAGACGTCGTTTGAAATGTTGACTTCCTGCCAAGTAGTTTTGATAAAGTGCAGTACACTCACTTCGTAAAACATACAAATCAAAATTGTGAAAAAACAGAACTTTTGCGTTCACGAAAAATAATTTAGCTTTCATAAATTGCTAAACTTTTACTTTTTTATATTCTTTTACCATTGACATTTTTTGCAATTAATGTTTGTTGATATAATTTCAGAAGAATGCTTCATATATACATTAAAAAAAATTGAAATAAAAACATTAAAATTAAAAGTTCGAGTTTTCGATGCCAAAAACAGCCAGCCACAAATTATAATCTTGAATTTTATATGAATATGATATATTGAATTATATATCACAAATATATATTCTTCGTAATCGCTAATTAAATCGATTCTGTCAGTGAATCGTAGATTGGCGCGCTTCCGTTAGACATCTGTTGCATGACGCACGACACGGTGTCACCCTATAACGATCACAGTAAATTGCGATGTGGCTCGGCCACGCCAGAATAGATCAAATGATGAGCTTCTGGTGGACGGTTCATTGTTAGGAAATATCGCAACGCGATAAAGCGCTATCGAAACACGTTAGCGCAACATTCTGTTAACCGTCTTACGCTAGAAAAAATATACGTATGCCGTCTAAAAGTGTTAGACGAAAATTTGTCATTGCTTTGAAATAATATAACACCTAATTTCTATTCATATTCTGTTCATATGATTTATGACATTTCAGTGTCAATTTATCATAAGATCGTAAAAATAAAAAGTTAATAAATTATTCATACGATGAACGTGAATTGTAACTGATTTTTAAATTACGCAGTCTGATATGTCTAAGCGCGTAACAATGATTCATATTTGACTTAGCTGTACGTAGAACCAATATACATGTTTATTACAATAATGGAAGCGGCAACAACAACATTAATAATCACGCAATATGCCAAATTTGCCGATGTATATTTCGACGGAAAATGATGCTCATGGCGACACAACCAACAGGATTATATCAGCCATAAATTCTGAAGTGGTGTGCTGTTGTGAAACGGGCGGGGAGAATTGTGTTGCCATTGCCACAGTTTATTACGGTTATTGGATATTGCAAAACAATCGCGTTGCCACCTGCATCCTCAGCTATTCGCACAAGAAAACCTTTTGTGGTCGTAAAACCATATATGGTATTCATATGCAAAAGTGATGCGCTTCGCAAACATAATATAAATGGCGCACTACGTTGAAATTATTATTATCCACATAATAATAACGATTTCTAGACATAAAATATCTTACATATTATGTATTTTTCAAAATTCGAATAAATTTTTAATTTTAATATTTTATGCGCCTTTCGAAATCCATATTTTAATACAGCTATATATTATCAATCATTTTTTTTTAATTATTAAATATCTAAAAGTGACAAGTTTCTATAAAAATCGCCCTATCATTTCTAATTTTCCTTTTTTTTTCCTGAAGAAATGTTTGTGGACGGTGCGCCTGGTTTCGTGGATCGATAGTCATCTATCAATTCGTAATCTCTAAATGGAAATTTTTGCAAACTATTTACTGACATTTTTTCTTTTGACCTTTTAAACATACATATTTCATATAATCCACAGTCAAATCCGAAAATTGAATATTGACTATTGGATTATCTTCGCTGTGCTATTACACAGGAGAATTATAATGTTATAAAAAAAAGATCAGATTATGCTTCTTTAGATGCATTTTATCAAATATTTGATTCAAATATCTTTTAACAAGTAAAACTTGCTAAAATGAGCTTTCTTTCTTCGTCGTTTATAGATATACAAACGACTACTATAAGATTTAGTGACAATTCAATTCTTAAACATAATAGAAGCAATATTCTTAAATGTATTATATGAAAAAAATTAATATCTTTTTCGAAGAAAATATTTCTAATATGCATTGATACCCGTGATGAAACGACACACTACATACAAAGCATTGTCATATA